GGCTTTCAAGGGCTTGTGTGGCAGAACTGCCATGGGCAAGACAGGCGCAGAGCAGGGAGCAGAACTGAGAGCAGGGAGGAGGTCAGAGCGAGTGTACTACAGGCCAAGCTTGGGGTGTGGCCGGCCAGAGTCCCTCAGGGTCCTGTACAGAGGCAGGGAGAGGAATGTCACTGTCCTCCTTCACTAGCTCCTGAGTGGTCCTGATGAAGAATTTCAGACGTGGGCCCAACCTCGGGCAGCTCCAGTCTCTGGAGCCAGACTACCGGGGGTGGTCACAGGCCACTGTGTGACATGGGACAACTTCTTTCCTAGTATCTGTGCAATGGGGACAGCAGGCCCATCTATGTCACAGAACTGCTAGGAGGATGAAATTCGTAATAGATGTACAGCACTAAGGCCACAGCCTGGCGCACAGTGAACAGCCCTCTGTGTTGGGAACTGCTGTTGCTATGAGCTGATCAAGGGCCCTGGGTTAAGGCAGGTCTGGCCAGAGGTCAAGGAGCCAGAAGAAAGCAGCCTGGCCTCCTTCTGTGGGCTCTCCTGCTCTTTCCTTAGGACAGACCAATGAGCCTGAACCATGGAAATCCCGGCCCAGCTCTGCACAGGTTGCCAGCCCTGGGGCCACAGACGATGGGAACAATGCCTAGTTGTGCCCCTGCCAGCTGCAGGCCCAGCCCATTTCTGGAGAACAGTGGCCAGCCAGCACACAGGAACCACAAGCCTCCATCTGCAAACCCCAAGGCAGGAAGTCCACGCACACCCAGAGAGTCCCTGACACACCCAGTGTGGAGGAAGGACTGGCCAGGGTGGGTGGCGCGAGGCTATTTCCCCCCTGAAGTCTCACTCAGACAATCTCCAGTCCCTTTAGGACCCGGGTAAAGAAGTCACACACACGTTGCTCACAACACCCAATTCCTGACCTTAGTGCCACTCCAAGAGGCCAGCCCCGGAGTCCTGTCTGCAAAGAGAAAAGCGAGTCATTTGGCAGGGGCCCCACATATGAGGTGGCTTTGTAACATGAGCAGCGTGTCCACTAACAACTAGAGCACGACCATTAAGTTCATTACACCTGTCACTCTGCCAGCTGAGTCTCCAAATTGCCCACGATGAAAGTACATTATGCCCAAGGAGTGCCACCCAGCCTCCTCCTCCCAGGGCAACACACACTTATCTAGTGCAGACAATTTGTTCCCAGTGTGTACACCTGCAGAAGGAACACAACTGTCAACAGTTTGGAACTTGGCTGTGGGACCTCGGGCTCTGAGCAGCTCAGAACAAAGTGTAGGTCTGGGAAGAAGACTAGGTACCATATTCCCTGGTGTGCGGGAAGGAATGTGGGTGTGGACCAGAGCTGGGGCCTGGGAGCAGCCTAGCAAATAAAAGGACTCGGACTCGGAGTTGCTACGTGGATTCTGTGGCCCTGCAGCACAGCCAAAAATAAAAGCAGGAGACACACCCTTTTCATTTCCGAACCAAGTCCCAGCGTTCTAGGCAGCAGGCGGAGACCTTGCCTGCAGCTGCACAGCCACCAGGCCCCGGGAAGCAGCGCCCGCCAGCCAGGGCTGCAGAGCACTTGCAGTGCTAGCTGTTGCAGACAGCAGTAATTTATTTATCCCTGTCATGTAACATTAACAATCTGTCTGGAGCTTGGCAAGCACCAACTTGCACTGTCATATAAACTGTCTGCCAAACTTAAAGTTTCATAAATGCTTCTCTTTTTCCAGCAGACAATAAAGCATCATTAAAAAAAAAAAAAAGTTGCCATCCTCTGTGTTCCCTTCCTCTCTTCCTTTTCCAAAAATAAAGGTGGGGGGGGGAGGTGGATAGAAAACCAACAACAAAAGAACCAAGAAAACAGAAGAGATCTCTCAGCAGGATTCTTAACCTTGAACATCTAAATAGATAGGGAGGGGGTCTGTTGTAGCAGGGGTCAGTGGTGAGGGGAGCACTAAGCAAAATTTGCAAAACAAAAGTACAGTCATTAAAAATTAATAAAGGGTGTGGACATCCAGCGCCCACCCCCTTCTGCTCATGGGGACTTGAGCCAGACTCTGCGTCCTCATTAAGTGCAGTCTGGCAGGCTGCCGGAGTTTTAGTGGGTTCTGGGAATGCCAATATATTAACCAGAGGACTTTTTGCATACCCTTTAGAGTTTTTATTCTAGAAAAGTCAACCATTTGGCACAGTACAGCCTTATTTTTGTCCGGGAAAGCTCTCAGCTGCCAATCAAGGGAGAAATTATAGCTATGTTCTTCGTAATTTCCAAGACCTAGCTGGAAAACAGCTTGGTGGAAAGAAAAGTCCTCAGAAAAACAGCTTAAAAGGCCAAAGTACCATTTTTAGTGAGAACTCAAAGAAAAGCAATCCATACTTAAATCACACAGAGATGCGACAACACAGACATTGTTTCAAGTCTTCCTGTGTCAGAGGGGGAAAAATGATATTAATTAGGAACCTAAACCCAATATTTCTAAAGCAATTAAGAGTACAGGTGCTTGCTTTTTGCTCTGAGTTTCTTAACAAGGAACAAACGATGGCCACAAAAAAAAAATCTCTCCCCCCAAAAGTGGCAGGTCTCGTGGCCTACATTTTCAAAGTAGGCAGAACTTTTACATTCCCATTTTAAAACTTAAGATTCACTTTACATGGACATCATCATATAGATCAAGATCCAATTGCCACTAACTCAGCCCTTGTTAGTGGAGAGCCATTTTGATATCAAAAAAAATAATGGCACCGCATAAAAATGAAATGGAGATATTGTGTCCACCTACAATCAAAAAAATAAATATATTTTTTAAAAGGGTCTGCTCTTCTTTTACAGCTATGACTTCTTTTGTATTAATTCTTGCCATGAAGGACGGACACCGCACGGAGACTCCATAGGCCCAGCTGCAGAAGAAAGAAGAGAAGAAACAAGCCAAGGGCTTCCGGGAACATCTGGGCAATCTGCACTCCTGCCCAGAGCCCCAAAGAGGCTTTGGTTTTACATGATGGCACAGAGAGTGCCTCCTATAACACCACCACAGGTGACTTCTCGCAGGGTAAACGCACAGGGATCTGGAGGGGGCTCTATTTCCGGCTGGCCAGAAATTACTCACAAGAGCAAAAGTCACTCTCCCTTTTCTTTCGTGCCTTGTCAGGTTGGGCAGTTACCCCTCCAGCAGCCCAGAGAAAAACCAGACTGTGCCCCATGAGCCACAAGGCTGCTCTGCCAGGCTGCTAAGTCAACCCAGCCTACAGCACAGCCCCAAACTGTAAACACCTCTGCAGACGGGTCCTCGCTCTCCCTGTGCCAGGCAAGAAAACTATTCTTAGAACACTGTCAGCAGTTGGGGGGAAATAAATATTTGTCTGTGTATGTATATATTCTGGTGGGGGAGGGTGAGGAGAGGACTGTTGAATCTCAAACGACGTGCCAACAAATTGGCACAAAATCCCTTAATAAGCAGCTGGCACTGGCTGGGTTCCACTGCAGGATTGTGGTCATGCAAACCAAGCCCCCAAGAGGATTCAAGAGACAGCCCTAAAAACCTGCTGGCAGGAGTCTTCTCCAACATAAATACAAATCTACATGAACTAGAACCATGGCCAAGGACAGCAAACTCTTCCAAGGGTAACAGCAGAATGTTGAGAAATTAGAGAAGTCTTTTCAAACAAGAGAGGAAGGTAGCTATGATGCCGTTACAGCAAACCCCTTACTGGCATTTACAGCCTCAGCCCTGATGCCTAACAGTATGTTCAATGTCAATAGCAAAGCGAAGCTCCTAAAAGAATTAAGCTTTCAAAAATCATGAGGAATTTACCCCCCCATGTTCTAAAAAGCACTGCTTTGCAAGGTCCATCAAATACCATTTCATGGGGATGACAGAAACCAAATATTATCATCCAATAAGTGCATGTGGGTCACATTCGGGTCTACCCATTGTGTATGTAATGACTCAAATTTGATACTAGGATCCTTTATTGAACACAAAGAAGAGAACCGTGCAGAGTGCAAAGGCAGATTCACAGATGACAGGAAGCTCGATTTAAATACTAGAAAAAGACTAACTGCAGGCGTGACCTGATGCACTGGCAGATTATCCACACACTTGACAGAACCTTCCGGGAATTCAATACACAGTCCTGGAGCTCCAGGGGAGGGACAGGCCAGCAGTCAAACTAGTGCAGAAGGCTGTTTTGAAAGGGAGTTTCCCAGCCCCTTTCCTGGGGCAAGGCATCCACCCCCATGCCAGCCATAGTTCCCTATGTTGTGTGTGTGTGTTTGTATGTGTGTATGTGTGTGTGTGTGTGTGTGTGTGTTGCTTGGAATGAACCAGGCTTCTACCACTGAGCTACATCCCCAGCCCCCTATTTTTAAGAGACAATGCTACTCACCATCTCCATCCACCTCTACCTAAAATAACTTAGGAAGTGTAGCTCTAGGGATCACCATCTCAGCTCACATCCGACAATGCCTAGCACACAGTAGGCCACCAACAAATATGTATCACAATTCAACCCCCAAGAAAGCAGCACTGAATCTTAACTCAGGAGTCCAGGGATGGGAAGATGCCAAAATAATTAGAAGAGGGGGAAAAAAAGAAGGGAGTAGACACAGAGGAAAAGCAAAGCAAAGCAAAATGATCCAATTCTAGCTAATTAAAAGATTCTTTGGGGAAAACAAAAATATTACGCTAGTTTATGTGGCCAGTGCCGCTCAGCAATCATTCTTCCGCTCTGCTGGAAGCTAGGAAGCCCCACGCGCTTCACGGAGTTTCTCGCCATCCTGACCGCCAGGGCAGTGGCTCTCCAGGTGACCCGGAGCCCAGGTGCTCAAGGAGGCGCCTTCCCCAGGTGCCGCCCACCCACCACGGGTCCCTGCAGTCCCGAAATCTCTGCTTCACCGGGAAGCCCCCTCCTTTACCAATTAAAAAAAAAAAAGTTTACGAAACAAGCCAACGTCTTCCCGCCACCTTAGCGACTGACCTAAACACAGCCCACCGACTCCCACCAACCTGCTCACAGGGCGCGCCCCCAGCCCCACCCGGGGCGGCGCATCGGGCGGGGGTCCGGGGCAGCCTCCTCGGGGCTGTGCAGGGCAGACCCCTCAACAAAGGCAAGTGCGGGCCGGGCTGGGTGCTCTTCGCTTCCTGTTTATTCCGCCGCGAGGGTCGGAGAGAATTCCACACACGCCGGCTTCCTCCGGGACTCGAGACCCCGCCGAAGGGTAAAGCAGCCGCCCAAGACAATCGACTTCCCAGCCAATGCCTGGAGCTCCGGGCGGCCCCGC